TTGTGTATAACATTGTGATTTAAAAAACACACAAAGCTGTTACGATTTCCATAGTCGTCATTATTCTCAACGTGGAGCTTCTCCCTCCAACAACACACTGTTAAGAATCTACACACAACTCTACACTATTAGTCATGTATGTTTACTGATACTGAAACTTCACACTCTTACTCATACATACACACTCTCACACACACACACACACACACACACACTTTACACCTTGTCTGTTGTGGCGGTGTATGCATTTGTATTGTATTGTCCTATCCTGTCTAATGTCTGTTTGCATGTTGATGTTGCAAAAGAAATAAAAAATAATTAATTTAAAAACACACACACACAAAGTATGCTGAATACTGATTTAATGTATAATTGATAAAACATTGAAAACACATTTTGGGTTCTTTTTAAAGACAATATTAAGGATTTTGCGTGATGACGTGGCAGTCATACAAGGCACAGCCATACTAGAGGTCAAGGTTGGTCAAGGTTCAGTTACTACTACTACTACTACTTTAAAAAGCAGTATAAGTATTTGGGCCTACAGCTCGACCACAGACTGAACTGGTCTAAGAGTACAAACCTGCTCTATAGAAAAATAGAGCAGGATGTACCTTGTCCCAATTCATATGTCCTAAAACTCAGTTTTGGCTGTTCTTACACAAATAAAATGCCTTATTCTATGACATTACAATACAAAACAAAAAAAACAAAAACGTAAAACTGTAAGAAATTGTCAGCTTGTTAGATCAGCCATCATTAGAAAGATATAATGCTAAAGTCATCCTCCTGATTCCTGATTCCTCCCACTTCATAACACGCTGATGTGCAGCCAGCAGTCCAAGCAGAGGTAAAATGTGGTCTGGGCGCAGTTTGGGAGTGTTCAGGTGCCAAGCCCCTCCCTTCACCTGTAAAAACATACAAGTGTGAGCTTTCTCCACTCAGAGCCATTAGTACAGCAAATACTAGTTTAAAATAGTTTACAATTCACACTTTGTTTAGTAATGGCCCCACCTTTTGCAAAATATTAAAAAGATTAGTAATATTAGCTTGGTTTAATATGTAAAAGAAAATTTGGGTTTACAGTGTGGGTTGTGGAATAGATCCCTCTGTGCCCAACCTCCAGTATTCAGATATTTAGAACTACTTAATTCATTCGACATCATCCTACACCAACCAAGAACTGAAAAAGTTACAAGAGGTTAGCGGCTCATAAATATTTTGTAGTGGGATGCGTGAGAACTTTGTGGATCACCGAGCCATTACATCTGCTCCTGATAACAGCCAGGGGAAATAGAATGGGGGTCAAAATCAGAACCGTAGCTATCCCAGGCACTGGAAATTATCGGGGGAGATTCCATGCTGGTGAAAGTGAAGACCAGGGCGGGCAGGATTCTGTGCCGCCGAAAGTTAAAACCGCACAACGCGTCCTTATTTTATCACACACAAATACTACACATTGGTCGAGATAGATAGTTTAACCTCCAGTATGGTGGCATAAACAACAGGTCACGTGCTTTTGTGACATAGATGCAGATACCTTAATAGTAGGAGACTTAGGCTACGTTCAAATCCGATTTTTTGGCTTCTATGTGACCTGTATCTGATCTTTTAATGACAGTCTGAATGACACAGATCCCATTTTTTCAAAAGCCACCCAGGACACTTGGATATGTGGTCCTGAAACCGATACATATCCGATCTTTTGACATGCGACTTCAGTGTGAAAGGCCAAAATGCATTCATCCGACCTACACGTTATCAACAAGCCACAAATGTCACTATTCTGCGGTGAAGTAGGCCAAAATTGTTAATGAACTCCGTGTCACTGAAGTGAAGCACATCACCACTCACCATTCTTGGCTAAGTCTGCGCATCCACACGTTCCTTTTCAATAGGACGTCGCTGCTGCTGTCCCACAAAATGCCATGGCCAAAATCCTCGCCCTTCTCCTTCTCAATCTCCTCCTTAAAACAAGTAAGTAAGTTGTGGTTGACGTCATCGTGTCTCCAGTGCACATGCGGGACACTTTCGGGCCGTTTAACGTTCACACAGGGGATAACATACAAGTCGCATTTAATTGGAAATGTGAACGACCTCACAAAAACATCGGATTTCACAAAAAAATAGGAATTGAGCGTTAAGCCCTGCAGTCTGAACGTAGCCTTACTTACCTTCTTGCTTGTTGTACTTACTGTGACGTGTATCAGCTGTTGTTACTTCCTGTAGGTGTGGTCAGCTGTTGTTTCTTCCTATGGGCGTGGTCAGCCTGATAGACCTGGCAGATCACTCAGACTGACCCCGCCTCCCGTCGCCCAGTGTTCTCTAGAGGAGGGTGTCCCATGTGCGTGAAAGAAGGAACGCCACATCCTCACGGTTAATGTTGTCCGTGCCCAGTTTTCTGATTCTTTACAAAGTTAATGTACAAAAGAAGACAAAATTTAATTGGATTAATTGGATTAGCTCTGAAGACTCATTAAGATGTAATAAAACACATGCAGCAGTCAGGGTGGTGCAGCGAGATAAATCAAAACATTTGTCTCATTATATCTGGACCTGTTTTGAACCATCATCTAAGAGTTTTTCTAACTCTTCTAATCTCACGTCAAAACTCCAGAGAGTGCCGTTTTATAAACTAGAAATTTATGAGCGAAAAAGTCTTTTAAAGTTTTAAAAATCAAGCGCAGCTCATTTATCTCCCTCGCTGCTTTCTCATACTCTGAGAATGCAGCTTCATTTCCAACTCCTGCTTTTCTCCACCTCTTTCTTGAGGTATTCGGTCTGTCTCTATTAAAATGTTAGCTTTGTCCATCCGTTTTTGATTCTTTACAAAAAAAGAGGTTAATGCACAAAAGCTGACTAAATTAACTTGGTGTAACTAACAGGCCAGTGTCCTGTCAATTTGAGCTACCTAGTGCTATTGAGCACGCACACAACCCCAAAGAGCTGTTACAGTTTAAATGCTGTCGATTTGAGCTCCCGAGGCAGAAGTGGAGTAACAAGTCACATTTTAAAAGTGTATTGGTTTTGTTGTATGTTTTGACCAGTTAAGCAACAACATGTGCGTGTTAGATTTGTGGCAGAATACCCATGTTAGATGATTGAATAGTTCAGATTTAATATTTGATTTTATAGTTGTCATTTTATTACATCGTATTTTATTTTGTTACCATGGGTAGAAAATACTGTAACTTTGTTTAGAAAGGCGATGTATAAATCAAATACCACTATACTACCTACTATCTAATACTACTGATATTAAATTCACTACTATACTATTTAATATAAAGGTTATAGTGTTTCCAGTAATGTCTTTCTCTATAGTGGGAGTCTTATTTGATAGAAGATACATATGATAATATATATATATATAAATTCGTGATGTATATACATGTTTGTTACCTATAAGTAACACTGAGCACCTTCACCCGTCACTAAGACATTTAAAAACACAGCACACAGCACTTCAAACATATTTGCACACATTACAAAACACATAATTGGTTTTAAAAATGTATTCATTGTCTTTGGATTAGCGCTGAAAACACATTAAGAGTGTCGAGTGGTAGAGAGATAAATCAAAACATTTGTCTCTCTCTACCATGCCGTCTCCATCTCTTTCTCATGGTCTTCAGGAGTTGAGGGGGAGAGAGAGGAGGAGATATCAATTCTCTCTCCATCTCTCTCTCTCTTCCTCCCTCAGCCCCCGTCAATTCTCACTCTCTATCTCTCTCTTCACTCTTTCTCTTTCTTCCTCCCACTTTCTCTCTCTTCCTCCTTCAACCCCCGTCTATCCTCCCTCTCTAGCCCGCTCCTTCTTCTTTCTCTCTCTCTCTCATCTTTGGGGGGAGAGTGGGACAGAGGATACAGGGTTGATCTCTCTCTATCCCTCTGATGGACCTCAATATTCGGCAGACCTCTGACCTCTTCACGTGACTTCACAATATAGGTCAGACCTGAGGTGGTGATGACCTGATGTTGGAATTTGCCATTTGACTGTCAGATTACAGATTTGTTGACCTGGTTAATATCTCTGTATTTCCTGGGCTTATCCACATGAAAGAAAAACTGGGATAAAGTTCAGCATCTTTTCTGTCAGCACAAATAAACAATAGGCTCAGAAAATGGTGCCATTATTCTATTCTAAAGGCGTGATTGTTGTCAGATGAAAGCATAACAAAATTTGTGGATTTCTTGAAGATATTATAATTTCATCTGGAAGGCATTTGACTAGAATCCAAAACTATGATCCACAAATGTTGAAACTATTACTATTTGTTAAGCACTGGCTCCACAAACTTGAATATATGAATTGTATTTATTTATTAATTTCTAAATGTATTATTATTATTATTATTATTATTTTTTTTTTTTTACTTTTTTGCTTTTTACTTTATTATTATTATTATTTTATTATTTTTTTTTTTTTACTTTTTTTGCTTTTTACTTATTATTATTATATTATTATTATTATTATTATTATTATTATTATTATTAGCATTATTATTATTAGCATTAAATTTATTTATTTAAAAAAAAAATTTGCAGGTCAGCTGTACAGAAATTAAACTTGAATATATGAATTTTATTTATTATTATTATTTGTATTATTTTATTTATTTTTACTTTTTAGCTTTTTACTTTATTATTATTATTATTTATTTATTTATTTTTGCAGGTCAGCTATACAGAAATGAAACTTTAATATATGAATTATTATTATTATTATTATTTTTATTATTATTATTTTTCTTTATTTTTTTTTGCAGGTCAGCTATACAGAAATGCAAAATAAGAGCATGCATCTTAATAATAAATAATTAGGCTGAGAAAAATTTAAGCGACATTTATTAAACACAGAACCATCACAAAGTTGTACTGGACACAAATAATCCAGAATGTGAAGAGAAGGTTATTTTAAAATAGGATTTTTATTATTACTTTTTACATTTTTGTATAATTTTAATCTGTATTCTTTTGTTTCTAATGTGTTCTTGCAGGAAGATGAAGGCGGGTGCAGGACTCCTCTCTGCAGTAGCGCTGTTCCTCCTGGTGGGGGCAGTGTTGAGCCAGAATCCGCCACGAAAGAAACCCACCAAGCGCCCGCCCCCCTCCAGGAAACCATCCGTGGCCCGCCCACCACGCCCACCTCGACCCCCTCGCCCCACCCTCCCCGAACCCGTTGAGCCCACGGACCTGCCCCCTGTCATCTTGGGCACCGCGGACATGTACGCGGACTGTCCCAAAGTCTGTACCTGCTCCAGGACTTACCCCAATACCCTGTTCTGTGAAAACCATAACCTCCGGGTGGTCCCTGTGATCCCGGGAAGGACGCATTACCTGTACCTGCAAAACAACTTCATCTCCGAGCTCACCGCGGAGCCCTTCGCCAACGCTTCAGAGGTGCGCTGGATCAACCTGGCCAACAATCGCATCCACCGCATAGACAAACAGGTAAGAGCAATAGGAGAGTTTCAGCTGACGTCACTGTTATTAAAAGCCCGTGTTGCATGCTGGGAAATATTTTGGTCGGAGGCAAGAAACACGGTAGCGGTCAAACACAGTGCGTAACCTTGCGTATTTATCCCTGATAATGGCAAATTCCTGCTGCATTATCGGATGCACAAATAGAAGCACGGAAGAAGGAAAATGTCTTTTTCATATTCCGAATGGCTTTCAAACATTCGCAGAGCAAACGTAGAAGATCCTAGCAAACTGTGGACTCCAACAAGTTCAACAACGCATCGAGACTCTTGAAGGCTTTCATCTTTTCTGCTGTGAATGGCCCAGGAGTTTCCACCAAGTCATTGTGGATATTGCCGAAGTGAATATTTAGCCAGGTAGTTGGCGATTCTGACCAGAAATTTGGTTTGGTCCACTTTTGTAGGGGCTGAAAAGGGTGACTTGGCGTCCATCGATGCTTATGACCAATTTCTGGTCAAATCGTCTTGGGTCCTCTGTCGTTAGAGTGGATAAATAACCAGGATCAATACCCTTTACGTGCTTTCTCACTCCGTCCGTCATGTTGGATTAGAGTTTCTTGCCGTCGACCAAATAATTCCCAGCATGCAATGCACGCTTTTGTCAACAGTGAAACTCGTCTATTTAATTTAAATTACTTAAAGGGCCCATCTCATATAAAATCAACTTTTCAAAGCTTTCTACCTTATAAAAGTGATGTGTGGGCCTTGTATATGTCGCAGAAGTAGATTATAGATTGATTCTAAATTTTTTAACAAACTGCAGCGTATTTCTGCCACCCTCCCACATAACAACGAACTAAAGCTGCTACAACAATGACACGGCAGCTACACCTATGATGAGAAAACGCTTCGCACCTGCCCTCCTCCCCCACTCCACCGCCTCCGCCCCGCATCGTCTGACAATTCCCACATGAACACCTAAACAAAAGCGACAGCATAAGCTCATTGTTCAACACTGCAGTGTACACTATATAATAAGTTTATCTACTAGTGTTTATTAATACTTTACCAGTCAGTAATTTTCATCTGATGCCGATGCAGTGCTTGCGCCTCGTGCACGTCAAAGTCCTCGTCCGATTCCGGGTCCAACACATGCGGCTGAATGCGCTGTATCTCCATGATGAATAAAAATTGATTCCTACCACTATCAGTGCGCACGCCTGTCTCCCCCTCCCTCCCTGAGATGGGCGGAGGAAGGGCGGCTCACTCGTCGCCTACATCACGTTTGGAGGGTGGAGCCTGTGCTTTCTCAGGACGGGCGGGTGGATGAGCAGTAGTCGGCCTTTCATAGTTCCTGGTCTGTGACTGCCTCCAAGAAATCAGTAAGATTTCAGAACTATTGCATAATGGATGTTCCAAATCCCAAATTGTGCTTGTTTATGTGCAGAAGATACAATGTGAAAAGAGTTATTTACATGAGATGGGCCCTTTAAGAAAAGTTTACAGTGGATACTTTTTACTTCTACTTCATTAGTGTACATTTGAGAGCAGATTTCTGTACTTTCTACTCCACTGCATTTTAGCCCTGGACTAAAAAAGTACTTTTCTTTAAGGTTTGAGACCTGCTGAAATAGCTGAGATTTGTTTTTAGCACATTTAGTTTGAGTTAATGTCCCAACTTTGAGCAAACCAAATGCACAAAAAACACAAAAACAGGTAGATGAATTAAGAAATCAAGTGAATCACTTAAAATGTACAAAATTCTTTATGTGTTATATGTGTTGCTTTAATTGTTCAAAAATCTCAGCAAAATGCTTTTTACTCTTAAAGTACTTTTACTAATCATTTTACGTAAAGCAGAACTAAGTAACTCTGGCAATAGCGCTCCCCCAACAGGACACTTGTGAAAATGCACTCTCTCGTAAATACTCTCCCCACCTGAGTGCTCACATTTGTTAGCGTTACACAAAGCTCATGAACACTCTACACAACAATATGTCTAAGGTGGGTAATGTTATTTTACTCTTTAAATAAATAATGTCATTTTAAATTCCCCTCAAAATTCCAACACAAATGCGTTACTGTTAAACGTTCGGGCTGATTTTACATCTGGGCTAAAGTTCGTTGCTCCTCTTACAGACGGACTGACAATACTGACAAGAAAGAACACGTCACACTGTTAAAACATAAATCATTACTACAACGTGCAAATGAAACATCAGTCTGTCAGTTACAGAAGTGATGCCAACGTGACACTTTGAGCGCACGCAAATGCCTGATCCCGTTTAATGCTGGCGTGACGTTAGCCATAGTCACATATCACGTCACTGTCCAAATTACAGTTACATTTTCTTGCGTCCTCGGACAAAGGTTTCCACTGTCTCTTAGCTGGTTGTGGCATGGCTGATAGGTCACAAATAAACACTAGATATTTATTCTGGCAGTGAACTGTGAAGAGCACCAGTAAGGGGTGTGTCGTAGCTTGGTTACCAGTGTGTATGTTGAAGTGCCATAAAACAATCTGGCTCTCGCGAGAACGAGAACAGAGCCTCTCTTCCGTATAAACAGTATATAAATTGTAAGAAGTAGTAAACATAAACTTCAATATAAACTCAAACATCTCAAAGGAATGATAAAAATATGAAACAAAACTGTACATTAATGTTACTCTAAGATGTTGTGATGTTTCCTCATCACAAACAGACCTGGAGTTGTTTTGTTTCATTCACACACACGTTTAACACACAAACCCTGCACATTTAGTTCTTTTCTTAAATGGAAAACACTCCGCCTGAAACTTGTGATGTCATGTGGTCATACAGAAAGTGCTCCACTGTGTTTTTAAACTCCTTCACTAGAATCATTTGGATCATTTCAGCCCTGGAAATGCCGATATCTAGTGAACTAAAGGTAAACGGTAGCAATTGAAACGTTCTGCTTCATGACATCACAAGAGCATTTTCACTTTTGGAGATGTAGACAGACTAATACTGCCCTATAAAGACAGAACATCATGTTTGGTCACCCTAACATCATGTTTGGTCAAAAATGAGTTCATGTTATTTGTTTGTATTTCAGAGCTCCTTTATCATGTGAATAAATATTGTGAAAAATATTGAGCTCAGTTCCTGTATCTGCCCTTGTATCATGAACTAAAAATAAGGAGTCGTGCAAAGACAAAAGGCAGTAACAGTGAATGTTTTGTTTGTGATTTAGTTCATAAATATATTTTGTTTTAAAATCCAACCTCTCGCCTCCTTCTTTTTGTTGCGGCCTTGGTACAGAGTCTTAACACATTAAATAAACACACCTTTTTTATTCAATTATACTTCAATTATTTTTAAAGAGAAAGGATTTTGTGTATTTATTCATACTGTCCATACTTTACAGCAAAGTCACTTGTCTGTCAAACTGTTTAACTGTAAGTGTCGCCGCACGATCCCGATCAGCAATAAATAGAAAATCCAAAGCTCTTCTGTATCATTTCAAACAAACTCCATGACGACTGGGCTTTGGTGAGGTGTTTTTCTTATAATGGATGGAAGTCTGGAGAAAATCAAGCAAATAATAATCATGTCAGTTACTGCCTTTTGCCTTTGCACCAGTCCTTATTTTTGAGTACAGTAGTACAGGAACTGACAAATAAGGATCAAAGGTCAATTTTGAGTTAATTATTTTTAGCATACAAATATTTCTTCATATATTTCTTTTCAAGTATAATAGGTAGGGCTCTCAAAATTTGACAACTAGTTGTTATAAACTAGTTGTCAAATTTTGAGAGCCCTACCTATTATACTTTTGTCTGAACAAAACAGAAACTTTGAAGTCATTTTTTCCAGTTTCACACTGTGGAGAGTTAAGCTCTTTTGCCTTTGCAGATAAAGACTTACTTAAATGTGTGAATGAAACAAAACACAACTCCAGGTCTGTTTTTGAGGAGGTAACAACATTAAAACATTTGACTTAAAGCTCACAAAAGTGAAGTTTGCGTAATATAGGACCTTAAATCTCTGACAGGTGTTTGAGCACCTGCCGTCGCTCCTGTACCTGTACGCTCAGAGGAACCAGCTGAAGGAGGTCCCTGCTGGTATGCCCGCGAGTCTGGAGCAGCTGAGACTCGCCAAGAACCGTATCTCCAGCATCCCCTCAGGAGCCTTCAGCAAGATGGGCAACCTCACCATGCTCGACCTGTACCACAACCAGGTACTACACATCATACAGGAAACTTAAACACTAATCAAATCAAAGTTATTGTTTTTTGCTATTAAACTGTGTGAATTGTGTTTTGATAATGTTGTGTACTGTTCCTAGTGGTTTCGTGTCAATTTTTGTGCAACCTACGTATATTAGCAGCTTTGTGGTCAAAATGTATAAAAATGAGTGTGTCCTACTCCACTGGATACTGCAATTTCAGATATTACACCTGTGTAACACCACAGTTTCTGATACAACACCAGGCTGCAGAGGAGTTTGAAGTGTGGATACCTGTTAGACCAATCACAGTGTCAGTCATATGTACAGACTAGAGTATACAAGAAAACATGATGACGCCATTGTCCGGGGCAGCAGCCATTTTGGTAGGCAAAACATCATCAACAGTTATCGGCGTACAACATCAACAATCGTCATACATCAGTACAACATCAACATCGTCAAAAGTTATTGCCGAGTTTTAACTTTTCATAGTAACATTTTTGATACTCAACATTCAGTGACTTAGAGTAAGATGATGAAGTTATGTCAGAGCAATTAAATGCAAAACCTACTTCAAAATAAGACGAGTTATCTCATGACAGACGCAACGCAAATGTCAACACAAACGAGGGGCCCCACTGACTTTTTGCCTACCAGCCACTGCACGTGCGGGAAAGCCGGATTTAAACAAAAACGTTTTCTCGTATGGATCGGGATGAATTTTTCTGTCCGAGCCCTGCCCACATCAGACAGAGGAGTGATCAAATCCGACCTGAACCTGATAGACATTAAGATATCTGTGTCCAAACCCGACCGAACCTGACACAGTTAAAATCACACTATTTCCATTGGCTTGCTAATGACACACGTGGGATATAGTTTGTGTGTCCTTTAATGAACACAGAGACACAAAATACAAACTCAGGATATAGTGAAAATAATGAGAAGACTTTATTCCTCACCTCTCATAAAGTGGTAAATTTAAAGTACAGCATCTCACCCACAGCTAGTAAAGGGTGAGAGTAGTTCACATGTGTCTGTTTACATCCACACAGCGCAGGGATCAAGATGAAGCTGTGGATTAATGATAGTGACTCCACTTCTGGTGTATTTTATCAATCTTTTATGCTTTAAAAATCATGGATCTGAAGTTTTGCACCACATTTTACATATAATAATAACACAGTTTTCATTGCCTCTTCCCATCCATTACTGTGCACTAGAGTAAACCACGTGTAAACATCAAACATCTTAATGAAACTGAATATATGAACAAGCAGTTGGTAGGACACTCAGTTCAAATGCTAAGTTTAGCTGGATAATTATAATGACTATCTTACCTTCATGTGTCCTTTCCACTACGACAACAGGTATGCTATCCAGATAATAGCTTCTCTCCTGATAAAAAAAAAAAAAGTTGGCCATGTAGCACAGCAGATGCTCGATGCAGGGGGCACTTGTTGTCAAGACGGACGCTTTAAAGGTTGTATGGAGGATTTTTTTTTGTTTCAAATTGTCAATGATAGCATTATAGTGATGCAGTAGCCTTGTAATTATGATGACCAAAAAAAAGAGAATAAAAATTCATCAACTCTGGACGTGGTGGGGCCAGCTAAACATTTGCCAATAGATAACAACACTGCCTCGTTATCTGTGAGCTGACAGGCTGTCAATCAATCTCCCTACGTTTCTAGCGTGCCTGACTTGCCTGCGCGCCGCCGGTACGTGGTTTACGTACGCCTGTCACGCAGTCCAAAGACGCAAGCCGCACAGACGCTGTTTACTCCACCAACGCAACAGTTCTTAGCGGCTTTTTTTGACCTATATCTTCCTCGCAGTTAGCACAAAGTTTGTTGCAATGGCAGACAAGAATCCAGGAGCAGTTAGCCGCAAAAGAAAGTCCGTTTTTGAGGTCGCTGAAAGAAGAAGACAAGGGGAAAAGCAGCGAAGCCAAACTAAGGTGATTCTTGAAGATTCATTCCAGCGATGGCGCGACTGAAGCAGACGCAGGGTCTAAAGACTGACGCATTGGTCGCCAAATTACTCCTGGACAGGTCACTTCTGCTTATTATGAAAACATACTTTATTTCCAAGAGCTAGACAAACGTTTTTCAGGACACGAAAGCGATATCCTATGTCTGAAAACGTAATTTTCAAGGCAAAGAAAGAGTCCGCTTGCTGCTGCGTGTTGTAGCTAGTTCATTCGCACTGAATCTCCGCGCAACCTTCTCTGCACCCCTTTCCTGCTCCTGTCCCCGCTGCCCGTTCCGCTCTTCCCCCTGCTCCTCACTTCTCCGGGCACGGAATCTCCGCGCACCGCTCCCCTCTCCTCTCTCCTCTCCCTGCTCCCTGCTCCGCTCTTCTCCCTGCTCCTCACTTCTCGTCCGCGCACGAAATGTCCGCGCACCCGCTCCCCCGCTCCTCACTTCTCCGCCTTGCCTAACCAACACTGTAGTTAGTTGTTTACAAGTCATGTGCAGCGCACCGGCTGTAAACAAACCTGTTTCTGGCGTAAGGAGGAGGCGGGAGGAGGCGTTTCTACGTAGGGAGCTGTAGGGGGGGGGGGGGGGGATGGTTTCACGCATGCGCAACATTTGAAAAAGGACAAACAGTCGCTGGATTTCTCGTTCCTTGGAAAATCCTCTATACAACCTTTAATTATAAAGCGCTGCGGGAAACACTGCTTAAGAGTCTCAAAGTGCGTGGTTTTGTACTTGTACTTTTTCTGTGACAAGAAACAGCTGATGCGCTGATGTGTCTGAGTTCGACCTGAGCCCAAACATAAGTTCTAAAGTCATTCTCGTCTTTAGTTCTCCAGACTCCGCCTCCCCATCCATCACTCTACCCTTTAGTCCTGCAGACCCCGCCCCTCCTCCTCCCCCTCACTCTCCCCCTTTAGTCCTCCAGACCCCACCCCTCCTCCCTCCTCACTCACTCCTTTAGTCTTCCAGACCCCACCCCTCCTCCTCCCTGTCATGCTCCCCTTTAGTCCTGCAGACCCCGCCCCTCCTCCTCCCCCTCACTCTCCCCCTTTAGTCCTCCAGACCCCATCCTCTCCCTCCTCACTCACTCCTTTAGTCTTCCAGACCCCGGTCCTCCTCCTCCCCCTCACACTCCCCTTTAGTCCCAGAGGACCCCGCCCCTCCTCCCTCCTCACTCTCCTCTTTGGTCCTCCAGACCCCACCCCTCCGCACCCACCCCTTTAGTCCTCCAGACCCCGACCCCCCCCCCCCCCCCACTCTCCCCTTTAGTCCTCCAGGTTCTGCCCAGTTTCCAGCTCTGTTTGTAATGTAGTTGTGGGAGGAGTTTAGGTGTGAGTGTCCAAAACAGTTGTGAAGAACTCCATTCACCTTTTACTAGAACCATTTAGATAATTATAGCACTGAAATTGCCAGTTTGTAATAAACAAAAGGTAAATGGCAGATGTGAAAAAAAAACAAAAACAACTCAACTTTTTTTTTTCTGCTTTTGATTAGATAAAAGCTTACAAGAATCCATTTTGTTTAACAATAACTTTTACGGACACACCTGCCAGTCTAAATTTGGACTACTGGAACACTGCATTATTTCCACTCAACACACACGTATGCACACACACACGCACAGATGCACACATGCACACACGCACACACACATGCACACACACACGCACACACGCACACATGCACACATGCACACACGCACAGATGCACACATGCACACACGCACACATGCACACACACACATTGCTCATCAGGTGAAATGAGGTCAGGTGTTTGGTATTTGAAGTTAAGATTCACCAGATAAGAGTGAAGCATCGGAATCATCTGAATGCACACGGCTAGATATAAAAACAGCAATGACCAGTGTAACCGGTATTTTTATTTTAGTATTTTTAGAATCATATTTCTTATTAACCCTGGCAAATGCCCAATGAAAGTTCCCGGCGTATTATTTAAGTGTCATTAAAAGTAACAACGAATACTTTCCTGTCTGCGATTTTCCCTGGGGGTGTGATGCTACATGTAGGCACAGCTCTGTTACTAAAATTAGACTTTAATTAATTTAGCACAATCTGACTAGAAAGAGTTGACTTGGTTGGAACTAGAACAAGTGATCTGATCTACGCTACTAAACAAGTCAGACATCAAATGACAGTATTGGAGTTGTGTGTATTGTGAGAGCATAGTAGCTTCTGAACATTCTGCTATCGAAATATGGCTTCGGAAAGCGGTTTAAAGTGCTCAGAAACAATGACAGCAATAACAGCGTTAAAATAAAATGTTTTTCAGTAATGAGTAATCTAACTAATTACTTTTTCTATCGCTGTCGTTGCAGTTACCAACGTGCCGTTACTGTGCGTTACTAAAGCTACTCAATTGAAGCTGTCATCTGACTTGTCTCACACTAGGGCTCACACAGGCACAGCACAACCTTCACTATACAAGCCCTGAGTGTGTGTGTGGGTGTTGGCGTTACTCATACGAGGAAAACAGTGAATAAAGTCCACTCTAAAACATACGACAAATCCACCCTTACCCTCAATAAGGACTGTGACAGAGACAGAAGTTCTCCGGGTGTCCTCACTTCTCTGCACTGTTATTATCTCCATAAACTCACAGGGGGGCATGTATCACAACAGGACTCATATTGGTCTCACTACTGAATAGATATTTCTGCTGCTGGACTTATTTCTCCGCTAAAGCGTTTGCTCTGCTGTGTGACATGTAAACAAACAGCACTGTGTGATGACGTCCTCAGCTGTGGCCTGGTTCGGTTGTGCAGGTGTGAGTGCAGAACATAGAATCCTAGGTAATCACGGCATGGTTCAAAAGACCTAGTGTGAGTGCGCCCTTAAAAAAAAGAAAAAAAAAGTTACACAATAGTTACTTTCCCTAGTAACTTTTTCAACGTAACATGCCCAACATTGTTCATAAACTCTTGGTGAATAATTCAGATGTTCAGATTGTGTGAGGTAAGTGAGGAATCTGGTACAGCGCCTTTAAGTGGTCTATGATGTGTCAAAAACACTTTTCCCCACCCATTTCTCGGATTGATCAGCCCCTCTCATGTTCGGAGTAAGTGAAATTTAACCAGTGAAGCGTATGTTCTCAGAAGCCAGCAATTTTACTCTGACAGGCTCCACTCACGCTTACGCCACAAACCAGGAAGACATTTGGAAACATGCGATGACAACTTCTGGCGGCTCCGTTCGCAGTTAGCCAGGCTGGCGCCACCTAGTGCCTCCGCTCAAATTAATTTCTCTCCAGCAACTATGCAAGGAATGAGAATACACTAGAATCAAATTTTAGTTAATTATAATTCAGAAATTCTTTGGCAAAATACTTGGAAAGAGTTGAGGATCTGCTGGTCTCTGGAGCTACAGGTTGGAGACCCCAGTCATAGAGTATTCACCTTCGGGTATTCATTGTTCAGGTTGTATTATTTTATATGGGGCTGCAGTTAATAAGCTCAATACGGATGATAGAGCCATTTTAAAGCCTCCCAGAGAATCAGTGAGGTGTTGACTTGGTAAAATTTAACATTTTACACAAATGAACTGACTTTTTGTCATATTTAAGATGCAAAACGTCCCAAAATTCTCCACTGATATGAATGGGAATCCTTGTTTAACCGAAAGTGCCTCCATAAAAAAGGGCGGTTTAAGAGCATTTACAGATAATAATTCAAATTGTGATCTAAACTAAATGATATGAATATTTCTGGTCAAACTGTGCACTACCTGATGTTTCTCATAAGAGGAAAAAGATGAACTCTGTACTTATTGTATAATGATTAAGAAATGTGGACAGCAGCAGACGTTTAGAGCCTCCTTATTACTTAGTAGCTCAAGAATTTAGTATTGACATTTTCCAGCTGATGTCATCCACATTCCCTGGGGGTTTGATGCTAACTGTATAGGCACTAATCTGTCGCAAAACTGGCCTGGGATTATGTCCAGTTTGATGTGGTGTGTGCTGATGTATAACCAATTATCTCAACAGCCACTTACTCACCAGTTGCATGTTGTTCTACTGTGTTATTAGTATAATTGTCATAGCACCAATGTAAACACACCAGACATGAGCTCAGTGAATACTCAAAAGCTTTGGTGTAAATTTGCATGCTACATTCTCTTTTAAACACATATAACTTCACCCCATTAGAATGTACACAGTAAGTACTTCTCACACTCTCACAAGAAGTCATGTGTGTTTATGTTTTCTGAGTAAAGCAGGTTTTGTTCCCGGAGGCTATACTATTCTGAGTTGACATCCCAGAAGTCACAGAGAGAGGGTGGGGGGTTTGTGTTTTCTTAGGGCATGACCAAATCAAAAATGAAACTAAACAAACTTATTCCCCTATTACCTGATGTATTCCGAGCATCCTAGTTATTCACAGCGATGAGTTTATAAATTATAAACTCTTATATTATATTATATTATATTATATTGTATTATAAATGCTTTTCACAATTCTCAGAGACAAGAGAGGAGTCGATAATAATATATATGTATTTTTACATCTCATTCTATTACAAGAAGCTCCTCTGTGTTTTTAAAGTGCATTTTCATTGTTGTCTGTAGTCATTTAGTCAATTAATCGGTCAATAATGATTTAGTCCAGGGGTTATCAAACTTTTTGAGGCTGAGGACCAATTATCCGTATGAAAATATCCCAAAGAGCCCCTGTAGTCCTCTGCAATGGCACTGCAATAAAATTCAGAAGTTCAAACTCTGTTTATAATCTAATCCTAATTATAGGCCTTATTTTTTGTGTAGTTGTGGCATCAAAAACACATGTTTGAGATTGTATATCATACGAAACTGTATTATTTAAGTCATAATCAATTGTTATGACAATTTTTTGGGGGGACCCTCAACAAATGGCCCAGGGAACCCCAGAGGTCCCCGGACCTCACTCTAAGAAGCACTGTCCTAGTCAACCAAAATGTGTATTAGTCGACTCATCATTTTATTTTGGATATAAGGATTTATGGAACAACAGCAGTGCCAACAGGGCATGTGGCGAGTTGAAGTTTTGTGAGGTGAATTATGAGTTTAATTTATATTTTTATATAAAGACATTTTCATCATTTTCTGCATAGACAGAGTTACATTAACTCCAGTGGAGTTGTTCTCTGGTTAGTGCAGTTTTGGTCAGATGTATGGTCACATTATAGAGAGATTTGTTTGGAGAGAGTTTTTGACACTCTTTAGTCGAGCAGCAGTATCTGTAGTCGGCTCCACCTCTATTCACCACACTCACTTTAATAAGTCCAATAGTTCTAACAGCAAACACTATGGAAGGTGTAGATTTCAAAGTTCTATGGTCTGCATTCACACAATAATTGGGACCAAACTGGACCTAAACGTTTGTCTATATGTAGTCTTCATCAGGGCTAAACCATGACCAGTGTGATCAGGACAAAACCAGAATCAAACCAGGGCAAGTGCATGCGCATAGTATAAAACTACGGAGCTTAGCGAGAGACTCTTCCATTTCACATGTTTCCATTTCGCATGTGTTACACACTGTATTGGCTCTGGATTAAATAAATCGAGGGGTTTCTTGTCAAACTGTTGTGGCCCTCTTTATTTTTTAGCGTATTATTGTCCAGCATAGCGTTAGATTTACGAAATGGTTATTACGTGGTCGTTGGCATATAACTTCATTTCGATGCTAATCGCTTCGTCAATGAACAATGCAAAAACAATTCTACATGTGGCAGTGATTTCTATCAGGCTCTGGTGTTACTCACGTGTAGTTGAGTGGTTGTAAGTCTTCAAAACAGTCCTGGTATTTCATAGTTTGTGGTGATAGATGGCTAACGCTAAGACGAAATTGGGGCTAACACTGGGTCTATACAGGTCTATTCGCATTTCATCCAAATCGGTATCTTACATTCTACATGGATGTGTGTTTGGCACTTGTATTGTAGGCTATAGATGTTACGAGATCAATGTTCTGAGGTGGAAAAACAAAGAAACTTACATTTTCATCCTTCAGTGTCTGGATGACTCCCTCCTCTGTGTTACGCTCCCTCAAAAAAGCAGCAGTTGAGCATCTATTGCTACATGAACACACGGTAAACAATTAGGAGAATTTTACTGTCACTTTACTCCATAACATTTCCACTATAAGCAAGCAGCATTAGCTCGCTAGTATTTAAGCTAGCATTTTGTTTTGTTTTTTTATTTAGCTATAGCATGCACACTATGCCACGCTACTACACGATCCTGGATTTTATATAAGCCTACATTTACATAAGCATACATTTGAGCAGGGAACAATATACGTTGTCAAAAGTGGGGGGTGGGGGACATATAAATAATGATATATCTTACCTTTATTTGTGTCTGCTGAAGTCCGAGGTCCAGCTAGCCATGCAAGAAGCACTTGCCAAATCAACCGAACACCACGCCCTGTTTGTTTAATTGGCGGCATTTTCTTAATTCGTGGGAACGATTTAGCTAAAATGTGGGAACGATTTAATCAAAATGTGCGAACGATATATCTAAAACGTGCGAACGATTTAGCTAAAGTGTGGGAACGAATTATATATTGTGGGAAAGAAATAGTAATTTCAGGCCACGATTTAATATCTTTTTTCGCGTACGTGATCGGGATGTCATCGGGGGGGCTCCGTATAAAACAGAGCTGGAGGACAGATCAGAATTCTCAAGTGGAATTTGCTGTTCGACTGTCAGATTGGAGATTTGCTGACCTGGTTTGTGGCATTTTGCTGTAATTACTGAATTTATTCACATGAAACACAAACTGACAGAGTTAAATGACACACAGAGTTAAGTGTCTGTTGTTTCTGTTAGTATAAAAAAAAGTTAAATTCTTTTTACTACTTTTTTGAGAATAGTCTCCATTATTTGGTCCATTTTTCAACTTATATTGATATATAAGTTATATAGTTATATATTTTAGCACGCCATGACCTCAACTTCCAGTTACACTTGTCTGTCTGACAGGTGTCATAAACCCTGCATAGTTTGTGAGTGAGTTTTTGCTTTCTCTTACAGCTGAGTGACAGTGACCTGGGGAAGAACACGTTTAAAGACCTGCACGGCCTGATGCAGCTCAACCTGGCCCATAACATCCTGAAGAAGATGCCCTTAGGAGTGCCCAAAGGAGTCATCCAGCTGTTCCTGGACAAAAACCGCATCGATGGCATCCCAAAGCAAGTACACAGGGACTGCCACAGCACTAAAACACACACAGGACAGTCAGGTCTGTCAGTTTGTTTTTTTAAATCAGAAGTCAGCAGACTTGTTTATTTTATTAAATCAATTTTGATGAATATTGCAACTTTAAATGTACTAATCATAACATAATGATCTGTGGGTGTCAGAGATTTTAAATCTCACAAAATGTTTGAATATTTTAGAGATGTCTCCTGGGCTCTATTCAATCCCTCCTTACAGTTAGCTGTAAGATTCTGTGCTCACCCCACAAGACTACATCACCCAGGCTCCCACCATAAATATACAAAATATGATACAACACTGTACACAGCAACTTGATAAACCTGAAACCAAGTTTCAATGGTGGGATGCAGGGTGTTTGTGTGTGATAGCGCTCTAAAGGGGGAGCAAAGGGAGGGGAGACTCAAAGCATCAAAAACAAAAGTAAAACGTTATGTTAATATGTTTGTTAATACATTGTTTTTGGCGATTAGAGCATTTTCAAAACAATCAAAGGTAACATGGTAGTATGTTATTTCTAAGCAGTTAATACCTCATGGAGGTAAAATACCCCCATATAAAATATTCCTTTTGTCTTTTTTTCCAGAGATTATTTCAATGACTTCTCTCACCTGGCCTTCCTGAGGCTCAACTATAACCAGCTGAGTGACAAGGGCGTCCCAAAGACAGTCTTCAACATCTCGTCTCTGTTGGACCTTCAGCTCGCCCACAACCAGCTCTCCTCTGTGCCCATGTTCAACAGCCACCTGGAGCACCTGCATCTCAACCATAACACCATAGAGAGTCAGTACACAACCACAACAACCACTATAACACCATCGAGACTTACTACACAACCACTACAACCACTATAACACCATCGAGACTTACTACACAACCACTACAACCACTATAACACCATCGAGACTTACTACACAACCACTACAACCACTATAACACTAACTTTTTTTTTTTCCACATTGAGAGCTGACGTGTTTTCAAAGTGTTCCTTATTATTATTTTTATTTATTTATTTTGAGTAGTGTATATTTGTAAAGAGGAAACATTATAATATAGATTGAAAATTGTGCATTATACATAGGCCCTTTAATATATCACTAGCTGTAACCATTATCTACCTGTAGAGTTACCTGTTTGAAACAGATAAAAAGGATATTTATTTTGATATCATTTTGATCCAAATTAATGACAGAATCATGTTTGTCACCCCCTGGTGGAGACGGTGTGGTATTGCACACTAAATCCCAGTTTCCTGGTTACTGCCATGAAGTCACAAGACCTAATGCCTTCTTTGTAATGACATTATAATGTGACAGTGATGTAATCCACAGAGCGGTGAGAGTGACGTGGATTACAGTTTGTGTTTATTGTTATACAAGTCTGAGCTTCCGACAGCTATTCAAGAAGTGCTGACTTTTTTAACACATTTTCAATAAAACATTTGGCACCATTTCAAAGTTAAAATTAGAAACCCTCTACAGGAAAAGAAAATTAGGGCAATGCCTTTTCTTTGATTTGCCTTGATTAGTGATTGTAAAAGGCTCATGTTACGCTGTTTTCATCTCTATGTTATTAGGTTATTTCCTCTTCATTCCTGGAGTTGTGTTTTGTTACATTCACACATGTTTAACACACAAACCCTGCAGATTTAAGCTGAGTTCTTCTCTCAAACTGGAAACACTTTCACCCTGTGATGTCATATGGCAATACAGGAAGACCACTGTGTTTTTAAATTCCATATACTTTCACTAGAATCATTTGAATGATTCAAATGACCAATCCCCACTGAACAAAAGCCAATTCATGACATCACAATTTGGAGCTATGGAGATGTAGATATACTGATAATAAAGGATTATACAAACATGTATGAATGAAACAAAACACAACTCCAGGTCTGTTTTTGAGCAGGATATATTTTGTGTAATAAAAGAACTTTAAAGTACAGGGCTGGAGTAAGAAAAGAATACAGATGTACAAAACATTCAAAGTAAAATGTCTAAGATATTTGACTTTCTTAGCAGTAATGGTGGTAGTAGTAACAGTAGCACTACAGTAGCTGCAGTCTTTTAAGTATTAAGTTAATATTAACTATAAATAGGACTGTTTGTCTCTTGAAAAGTCCTCAGCTGAAGCAGAAACCCACAAATAAAACTTTAACTTCAGCAGTGGTGACAGTGGTGACACTAACCCCAAGGATCCCAGTTAAATTTCTATCTCTATCAATTTCTGAACACTGTTGCTTTGTCTTTGAGCAAGACATTTCACCCTAATGCATGTATGAATGTGTTGATCTGACAGAGTCATTGATGGAGTTGGACGATTGCGTGTGCAGGAATGAAAACAGAAAAGTGAAGTAAACGGTATAGGAACCATTTCAGTGGCAGAAGTTATGAAGAATTTTAAAAGTGGAATTTTTTGCAGTAGCACAGCATGTGTGGAGTTTACATGATAAAAAGAGTATTTTTGTATAAGATTATAATATTCAAGAAGACAGGCTACTATTTTGTGTTGAAAATGACATTTGCATCTAGAAACAGTGTTTTGTATCACTATTGTGTTATCAAACTCTGCATCACTGAGCCTTTTAGTGTTGAAAATTATTTTTTTGTACCATGATGACACTATTGATACTTTGCGGCTGATGTCGTCAACATTCCCTGGAGATGTGGTGCTAACTGTAGGCACTGCCCTGTCTGAAGCTCTGTTTCTCAAACTAGACTTTAATCTGAGCTTTGTTGTACACAATCTGACCTGAAAAAGCTGACTTAGTTGGAACTACAACAGGTGAGATCTTTTGTGCTTTTAAACAAATCTCTCACTAATAACATTCACATTCAACATTTTTTTAGTTAGTCACTCGAATCTTTTTGTTGAAACAGAACAGAACCATGAACGCTTGTATTGATTACAGGCTCCTACAAATTTGTTGTCTAATTGCATTTTGTAGTGAATTTTTTGACAGTTAATTGCTAATGTGTACATTGTGTCACCATGATAACTCCTAAACACCACCATAGAGATACATGTCGAACACCCCCAGAATGATATCACTGCAAAGTATCAATACCATGAGCAGCCCTTTTACATTGAGTATGAAGCGGTGTCCCGGGTCCATCAGGTCTATGGTTTGAGAAAGTCCTGGTTCTAACTCGTGTGTTTGTGACAGGCATCAACGGCACCCTGCTGTGCCCCTACAGCCTGGAGGTGGAACCTGAGGACCTCAGCCTCATGCCCCGCCTACGGTGAGAAAAACACACATCGTCCCCAAGACATCTGACTTTCCCTTTTTTACTTTATCAAAAACATACCTGAGTTAAAGCAAAATCACCTCTTCAGAGCTTTTAAACACATTTCCTCTTGTCATTTAAACTCTTCAAGTTGTATTTGGTCAACAGTCATGGTTTTCAGCACCGTCAGTACACGCCCACTGTGCCGTACTTAATTCGATCTTCTTTTTTAATTTTATCTTATTATCTTTATTATCTTAATTGGTGATACATGAAGGATTCAGCAGGGATGCATTGATGTTTTGGTCCAAATAAAAAAAAAAAAAATCTGTAACTCACCTGTGTGATCTGCAGCCATCCTTCGGAGAAACTAGTAACTTCACAAGTCTTTGTTGTGATGACGTTTGCCGTGACGTCAGCTCCCATTGGGCACTGCTTATTTCTAACGTGAAAGTCAAGACTGGTTTCTTTTATAACATAATTTTAGATCAATATTGCATTTTAAAATTAGCAAATTATAACATAATGATCGAAAGGTGTCGACTCCACAAGAGGGCTTCTTTAAGATTCATTTGTGTGTGTTATCTTGCATGTTCAGGTTATCTAATAAAACCCCTCAACTTCACCTGCTTGTCTCCATGGTGATGTTATTACCTTGAAATTTCCACAATATGGCATTGAACTTATACTAGCATTTTTAAATCTTATTATGAAGTTGATTTTTTTTTATCGTCTCTTAATGTTATGTTATCAGTTCACAAATCTTACTTGTAACTTGGCTGGGTGGAGCCCCCAGCTTGTCTCCATAATGTTCCACAATATAACATGGTGTTTACTTGTATTTCTCTGCATGTATTGTAGTTTTTGCGTAACAGCCAAACAACTACAGCCCCAGAGACGTGAAATGCGGCTAGAGTACAGAGCAGTACTACTTAGGTCTGATTTTAACCATAGTAGTAGTAGTTTCAGTATTTTCGCTGATTGCAGTATTTCTCTGTAGTAATATATTGTGCTTGAGAAAGTGTTAAGGTGACAGGTCGAATCCTAGTTTTGTAGCTCTCATGTGTTTATCTAAAGTTCTGTGGTGTTTCAGATACCTGCGTTTGGACGGGAACCACCTGAGTCCCCCCATCCCCATGGACGTCATCATGTGCTTCAGACACCTGCACTCCATCGTCATTTAGACTGGGACTAAACCGGGTCTGAACCAGGTCTAAACCAGGACTGAACCAGACTGAATCAGGACTGAAGCAGTCCAGGACTAAACCAGGACTAGGTCTGAAACAGGACTTAACCAGGACTTAAACACAATTCAAGCAGGACTGAATCACGACTAAACCAAGACTTAATCAGGACTTAACCAGGACTGAATCAGTCCAGGACTAAACAAGAACTAAACTAGGACTAATGAGTGATATAAACTTGAACTGCAAAAGACTCCTGTGCTTCACTGGCAGGACCTGAACCACAATTTTGAGAATCGCTGCTTCCAGCACCAGCTTGGAGAGGAAAGCGCACCGCATCGACTTTAAGTCTTTTTTTTTTTTTTCAGTAATGTTCTTAATATGTGTAAAATAGGTAAGAATAAAGGTGACATTGAGGACAGCTTGATGCAAAACAAGGAAAAGGAAAGAACTTAAAACTACCATGTAGTTAATGAGGTCCTGAATGCACCTATGATGTTCATGTACTCCATGTAAAAAACCTTTCGGTTAGTCTTCTTTTCTGTATAAAGCCACTTTGTACAAAAATAAATACACCTTTTGCTCTATGAATTGTTTTTATTTCACATTTTAATTTCAGCAAGGCACATGTTATAAATGACTCTACAATGAACACAAAACACACATGAACGTCTTACACTTGGCCTGTCCAAACCTCTCAAAGCACCACACTGTGTCATTCTTCATTCACTCCACACTGACGTAAAGACACTGGTGTAGCCACAGTTGCCCTGGGACAGACGGATGGACCTGCCCCTCTGACCACCACCAGTCATTCACAAATACACCACTTTCATACTGAGCAATGCGGGTGAAGTGTCTTGCGTAAGGACACAACCACAGAACTTGGTCCGAGGTGAAATCGATCCTGAGCCACTGTTATTATTATGTGAGCTCAACAGTGTCTGTGATAACTACAGACCACAAGATCTATAATCTGTAAAATCTGTTTATCAAACTTTATAAAGCATTTTGCTGGATCTCTCTTATGTGTTTATTCGGATTTAAAGATCCAATGCATCACTTTTCGGGTAAATGTAGAAAAAAAAAACACTGAATGAGAGGGTGGGTCCAAATCTTTGATTGACAGTGTATGTTTCTGTCATGTTGATACTGTATATGGCAAACGTTCTGTATAAATGCACTGTTACATTCACAATGGTTCATGTAGAACAGATTTTCTTGAACACACATTATAACAGGGTAGTAGACCGGGGGGACAAAGGAGGGGTCTGTTGTCCCGGGTCCCAGGGTTTTACTGGCCCAGAATTGGACCCACTTCTTATTCATTTATATTAGGGGGGTCAAATCTGAGGCTCTCAGGGCCCTCAAAATTCTGTCGACCTGCCTGCATCAAAGCATGGGGTACATTTTAACATTTACATGTGTGGTGTTAGTGTGTGTTGGTGTTGATCGGAGGGGCTGATGGAGCAAATTGGCAGCCCCACTTTTACCCGTCTGCCCACATCTGTGGTTACACTAACTTACCGTATACTGAATATAACGTCCAAAAAGTGCTCTAAAAATCAAATGCATTATTAGAATTCTTTAATGATAAAATTCAACAAATCAACCAGATATAAAAGAAACAATAAAATAACATAAAAACAACAATATTTCAATTTGTGTGTATGTGTTTTTAGGAGACTTAAAATAACTTGGTCAATTAGAACAGTCAATTAAACATAATTAAATTTGTACATCTAAAATTATACATGAAGTCCACATCGCAGAATTCCCCAAGTTTCATGAAGCCAGCATTAATCTCATTCATGATTTCCAGTGGGCGTTATTTTCTCTTTACATATTTAGGTAAGCTCTTCTTTTCTTTGCTTTCTGCTTCCTGGTGAAATTTCTCAGCTTCCTACATTTGCCCTTTCGCAACATTCTTGGGTAGAAACGCTCAGGCCCTGACTTTAAATGAGCTCCGCAGCGGTTAGTCCTGTTATTACGGATTTCCCTACACACTCTGACGTACTAACCCTAACCCTGATTGGTCCAGCAGGAGTTCAGGCGGCCGGGCGAGTTCTGAGCGATCACAGTACAGACCTCGCTGAACCTGTTGTCCAACTACAAACGCTATTCTCCAAAAAAGATGACGCAAGCCTAGCATTTGCCAAGCATGACACATTTACACATAATAAAAACAATCACCCTTTTTAAGTGCTTTGAAAGATCACAATAAATGCCAACTTTGATTGATTCATATTTGAGAAAAAATTACAACAAAACAGGACTTTCTCGCTTGACAATTGCAGAATTCTCTTTTCCTGATATTGGCAGTTCCGTTTTTCCGTTTCACGCCAGGTTACTTCCTTCTCCGGTTAAAGGTGTTTTTTTTTCTCTCTCTTTTGTGGGCATGTACGTGTGCATCGCCTCTCCGCGGATCTGCTGCAAAAATTCCCTGCTCTTGGGTATAAAAGAGGAGGCAGTATGGAGGAGCAGACACACACAAGCACCTGGACCCAAGCCACTACTACAGGTGAGAGAAACCGATTGATTTTTAATGATTATTTAGGTTTGACGTGGTTAGTAGTTCAATCTTCCAATCTCCGCTTCAGGGCGATGCATGCTGTTTTTGTGTCCTTGGGCAAGACACTTCACCTGCCTCCTTGCAAAATAGCTTAAGAGAGTGGTAGATATTTAAGGAGGTTTTATCATGCAGTTTTAATAGAAGAATTAAAAGAGAAGAGAGCAATAAAATTAAATATTTAAAATTAATACAAAAAAATAAAAAAAAAGGAAATGTGATAATAATTAACGCACATTTTTTATTACATTTTGTCCAGTCAGTGTAATTTAACACAAAAATGAATTGCACAGTTTTAATTATAGCAGTACTACTACTATTACTACTACTACTACCACTACTGCCACTGCTACTAGTAGTGGTAGTAGCAGTAGTGGCATTAGTAGTAGTAGCAGTAGTAGTGGTAGTAGTAATAAAATTATCCTTGATTGTCTGACATAGGAGAAATGTGTCTTAGGACTGGGGGTTACATGCTTTAACATGGTAGTATTAGTAGTAATAGAAGTAGTAGTAGAAGAAGAAGAAGAAGAAGAAGTAGTAGAAGTAATAGTCGTAACATTTCTTAAGAATATTTCTGTAGTATCGTGAGCACGTACATAACCTGTTCGTGTGTCCTCAGCCCTGTGCATTACTGAAGAAGACCACGACGATGAAGCTGCAGTATTTTGTCCCTCTCTGTGTCCTGTTGGTGTTGGGATGGCTGGGTCAAAGGTCAGAGGGCCGCACGGTCATCCTGGACAAATGCGTGGTGAACATTTACATGAGCGAGCTGCAAAAGCACTACGCCAGCCTGCGCCCGTCTGCTGTAAGTCTCACACAAAAACACACTCAGTACTGAATTACAAAAATATACTAAAATACCAAATTAATAGCAAAAACAGCAAGAGACTTTGTCAAAATAAGGTACAATTATTCCGATTTGTACACAGACAAGATTAAAAAATACTATATTATATACAATATTATCTGTTACATGTACAGTTGTACGGAATATTATCTGTTATATAAAGGTGAGTTGTTGTACAGTTGTAGGGAGTATTAACTGTGATATAAAGGGAAGTCGTTGTACAGTTGTATGGAGTATGTTTCAGATGACGTCACTACATTTTATAGGTCCATAATATTTAATATATGAGGAAAGATAAAATTATTGTAATAGACTGAGTACTTTGGTTTAGTTCCTAATAAAATGGATCAGTTTCAACATTTGTGCATTTCACTTTTGCTGGGTGTCAAAACATTCTGTAAGCCAATAATATTTAATACAGAGTTTTTGTTTATTTGTTTAGTTCATTCATAAAGTAAAAAAAGACATTAACAGACACAAGCACTGCAGAAAGAAGAGTTATGTTATCTGCCTATTTTTCCCTTTTCCAGAAAATACATGAACACTGATAGTTACTTTGTAACAGACAAGTCAAATTCAGGCTCGGGGACCAAATTTGGCCCACGATACAATTAGATTTGTCCCACGAGATCATATCAAATGTGTATTAGAGCTGCCCGCCGGCTACAGATAGACTATAGAAACATTAGTTATTTAAAATTGTGTTATTATTTTATATCGTGCTTGTTCTGGATTCAGTGTTTAAGCAAAAGTACTATTACACATTTATTTGAATAAGAAATGGTTTAACATTACATATGTCAAAAGAAGAGAAAACATGCAGATGCTGTTTCCAGTTTTAGTCCCAGTTTTTAATTTTGGCCTCTGTGAATTTGAGTTTGACACCCCTGCTTTAAAACATCATTACATTTCATTTCAATCACAAATATGAATCAATTGCAAAGAATTTTATATGACTTTTTAACGACTTAGTTTTCTTTTTCATACATACATACATACATATTGCAATGGATTTTATCATGTATATTTTCCTTGTAATACAGTGAGTTCTTAGAAATGACCAGATCCAGAATTTGTGACTTGACGTTTTGGATATTTCTCGGTAAAATGTAAAACGTCAATAGGAAAAACTGACTAACCTTCATGTGGAAATATGACATCATTATTTTCTAGGATCTGAAAACTACCACAAGAATATAGTTCTTTATTATTTATTGTACAGTCTATAATATGTTTTAACCTAAATATTGTATGTTTTTTTTTAGATTTCTGGAGACACCGCCATTGAAGTCAGACTGCTGGACAAAGCACTGAACAAGAACGTTAAGGTGAGTCGAATAAGTCTGATTAAATTTGGAAAAGAGAATAATAATCAGATGTATTTAAAAGACTCTTAGAATGTTGTTACCTCCTCAAAAACATAGCTGGAGTTGTGTTTTGTTTCATTAATACATCTCCAAAGCTCAAAATGCTCTGTTCCTTCACAACATCACAAGGTGGAAAAGAACATCTTGAACTTTGGAAATGTAGATAGACTAATAAAGAGTTACTCAGACGTGTACATTTTGTTTCACTTGCTTCATCCTTGATTACATTTTTGTTTCAGGAGGGTCAGAGCTGCTGTTTCATTCGTCTGGTTCTCCGATTCTTTGTGGAGCGAGTCTTTGTGAACTTCTCCACGGCTGAAGCTCACGAGCAGAGAGGAGCCAGCGCTGTTGCCAACGGCTTCATCTCCTTACGCAACAATATTCACAAATGTGTAAGTCAAGTTTGTGTATCGAAAATTTGGAGTTTAACAAAAACAAAACATGTAAAGTCAGAAAAGGAAGACATTTTGACTTAATTTGCTTTATAGTTTTACATAAATCAAGAAGCAATTTGTGAAGAAAAGTTGAAAATTATGGAAGTTCTATTTCTGAGAGTTCTATATTGATCCCACAAATGATGATTTACATTAGAGGAGTAGCTAGGTAACTGTTATGGAATTCCCTAGTGTGACATCATGATTTTCCAAATTCCAAAATTGCCAAACTGGGAAATGTTGTGGTCCAACCTGTCATAGGCACTTTAAAGCTGCACTACGGGACTTTACTGGTGGACGAGCCGTTACTCGCACGTCACCATGTCTTTGCCTAGAATGTTGTCATCAAGTTACAGGTTAAGTTACAGGTCAGATCTGTGATGAGGCAACCCCGCTCTTCAGTAAATGGGCAAAGTTATTTATAATGATGTCAAATTCTAACTGTGAGCTGGCTTGCCTCTCCGTAGATCTGATCCCAACTTGACCTGGTGGTGTCACATACTTTTCTTCACTGAGATTTCCATAGAGACAAGCAGAAAAGTTACATAGTGCGCCTTTATTTTAGTTTTGAACCGTACAACCCTAACAAGTAATACTATGATTTGATATGATTTTGACAATAATTCACAACATTATTCTGTTCCTCTGCAGCACTGTCAGTGTGAAGAAGAGACTCAGAGACTCTTGGACTCTGTCATCGCTGAGTTTGATAAGGTAAAAACTTTTGAAATTATGATTCTATTTTGAAGCAGCATTCTTCAAAACTTTCACCCCCCAAAAAATGTCATCATAATGGGGGAAAATTTGCCGCCAACATCAGTATTTTTAAAATGAATGAGTCATTTGGTGATTAGTGACCAGAGAATAGAGCCAGGTATCATTAAGAATTTGCAGATACGATACATACCTCGATACACAGGCCACGATATGATACATACCTCGATACACAGGCCATGATATGATACATACCTCAATACATAGGCCATGTTGTGATACATACCTCGATATTCAGGCCACGATACGATACATACCTCGATACATAGGCCATGATACGATACATATCTCGATACAGTGCACTTTCATTTCAATACTATATATAACAAAAGGATTCGATACGGTTCAATAAATAATAAAAGCTAAATCATGGCTGTGACACTAAAAGTCTTTGTTTAAACCACTTCTTGTGCTAAGTTCATATGAAAAATGGCAATTTTAATCATCAAAACAGTGAAAATGTCAAGTGTGTTGCATAAATGAGTTTCCTTCCTCTAAACAAGCAGCAAAAGTGTAACAAAATAATACGATACGATATAGCGATATTTCAATATTTTTGCACAATCCTACCAGAGAACTTAGGCACGGTCTGCACTCTGCCACAGGGCGGACGTGGCTACACAACCAGTCCTGAGTAGGAAATGGAGCAATGTTCATCAATGCGTTATTAGAAGATGTAAAAAAAAAAAAAAAAAGAAAAGAAAAAAGAAACAGCGAAAAATTAGCCATCAACCTCAGCATTTATCAGCTAGACCATGATAAAAATAAAAATAAATAGATAGACAGATAAAAGCTCATATAAACGGTACCAATGAATGATTGTGATTAAGTGTGATTAATTACAAAACTTTGGGCCAAACATCAAATCAACTCAAATGCATTATTAACAGACCAGAACGTGATCAAATGTGAAATAGATCGATAAATAAATACACGCCCCTATGTATGAATCTCGAAAAATAAACAGTACCACTTCATGAAAGTGCGGTTAAGTCAGATTCATTCATTCCAAAGCTTTTGGCCAACATCAAATCACACTGGAGTAACCGATATTATGGAACCGATATCCGACCCAGAATTTTGTAGTAGATTTTTCACCGATGCAACATTGGTACTGTCTTGTATTCATCCCTAATAACATGTAATAAATAAGTTGTGTTAATAAATAAGGTTCAACCAATTAATTACAAACTATAACTTAACTTGAACTTTTTCCCCTTATACTTTCTTAAATGTCATGTGGGAATAAAATAACAGTGACTGAACAGCAGAGGGCGCTAGACAGTTTTATAATACAACACTGGACATAGGTTAAACTGACGCTTTGAACACTGACACACATGCAGTCAGGTTATAGTGGATCAAGTGAAATGTGACGTTTTTGTGAATGTTTAGATCGAAGTTTTAATGAATTCTTTATTTTTATTTGCAGTTAGAGATCGCTGAAGCTGCAAAGAAAGCTGTTGGAGAATTGGATACTGTTTTGGAGTGGCTTGAAGAGCACAGTCAAAGATCAAGAACCAGGAAATAAACTACTACTACTACGTCTACTATGTCTACTACTACAGCACTTATTATGTAGAGTCAAAGTGAACTCACATTGAGTTAATGTTTAGTGCGGTTAAGCATTTCATTTATTTTATTTATGTTAAGTTAATATATGTATTTATTGACTAAAAGACAAAAGAGTAAAATGTGGAATTTGAAGAATGTATTTATGGCCTTAATTTCAGCAGCTTCAATAAAGAGATATTTCAAACAGAGTTGGCTTTTTACTGACTGCAACACTGCCCCCTGCTGGGCTGTACTGTACTTTTTTCTTTTCTTTTTTCCTTGAAACTAAGAAAAGCAATAATATATAAACATTTCCTGACAAATAACCAATGAAAATCAGACACTGTTTTTGAATTGTTGTTCAACAGAATAACTTTAAAAAACAAACTAATGAAACTGGCCAGGACAAAAATGATGATACCCCTAGAAAAGATTGTAAATAACCAGACAACAGGGACATGTTAAACTTATGTGTGTCCTCTAATTGGCATCACAGGTGTCTTCAAACTTGTCCTCAGTCAGTCTGCCTGTTTGAAGGGCGACATGTGTGATTGTGCTGTTTGGAGACATGATGAACACAACACTGAACATGGACCAGAGAAAGAGAAGAAGAGAACTGTGCCAGGAGACTAGAAAGAAAATGATAGACAAGCAGGTTAAAGATAAAGACAATAAGACCATTTCCAAGCAGGTTGATGTTCTTGTGATCACAGTTACACGTTATTCACAAGTTTAAGGTCAACAGGACTGTAGCCAACCTCCCTGAACGCAGCTCCAAAACAAATATTTAACAAATTGAAGAGATAGATCATACGAATGGAACCAAAGAGCCCAGAACAACCTCCAAACAAATAAAATGTGAACTTAAAGGCCAATTTACATCAGTGTCAGATCGCACAATCGGTCACTGTTTGAGCCAAAGTGGACTTCACGTGAGGACACCACTGTTGAAAGCAAATGATAAAAAAGTGAGACTGGAATTTGTCACAGTGCATATGGACAAGCCACAAAGCTTCTGGGAGAATGTCCTTTAGACAGATGAGACAGAACTGGAGCTCTTTGGCAAGACCCATCAGCTTTATGTTCACAGACGCAGAAATGAAGCAGACAAGAAAAGAACACTGTCCCTGCTGTGACACATGGAGGAGGCTTGGTTTTGTTCTGGGGCTGTTTTGCTGCATCTGGCTCAGGGTGTCTTGAATCTGTGCAAGGTACAACGAAATCTCAAAACTATCAAGGTATTTTGGAATGAAATGTGTTGCCTAGTGTCAGAAAGCTTGGTCTCAGTCGTAGGTCATGGGTCTTCCAACAGGATAATGATCCCAAAACACAAAGCTAAAAACACCCAAGAATGGCTAAGAACAAAACATTGGACTGTTCTGGAGTGTTCTTCTGTGAGCCCAGATCTCAATTCTGTTGAACATCTGTGAAAGGAGCTGAAACATGCTGTCTGGAGAAGGAACCTTTCAAACTTGAGACAACTAGAGCAGTTTACTCATGTGGAGTGGGTCAAAATACCTGCTGATCAGTGCAGAAGTCTCATTGACACATACAGAAATAATTTGTTTGCAGATTTTGCCTCGAAAGGTTGTGCAACAAAATACTGAGTTAAAGGTACCATCATTTTTGTCCAGGCCAGTTTCATTATTTTGTTTTTTCTAATAATTCTGTTTAACCACAGGTCAAAAGCAATGTTTGATTTTTGTTGGCCCAATGTGGGTAACTACACCAGAGGTCTGTTGTCTTGTGATAATCCATCATGTCCAATCTTTTTGGAATAAAAAATATTTCATGATAAAAGTATTATTATTGGAATTAAAAAATATTTCATGATAAAAGTATTATTATTGGAATTAAAAAATATTTCATGATAAAAGTATTATTATTGGAATAAAAAAATATTTCATGATAAAAGTATTATTATTAACGGTAAATGCTGTATTTCAACATGTTTATCTCATTTCTGGGAACACGTTTGTGAAATTTCACATAAAAATGGAGGCTTACCCCGCCTTCAGCAACAAAAGCATTCAAATTCAAATGTAATATATTCCATGCTCCGAAAGTCACATGAAGCACTTCCTATGATACAAGTATGGCACATTTTAGACACGTGTTAACCCACACGCTCAGTTTCAGTCTTTATTTATTCAAAACAGTTTGTTTTTTTTCTGAAACAGAAACAATGAACAGTGATGAATTTCTCTGTAAACTAACCACAGGAATCAGAGATAAGGCCGTTCACACCACCTCTACCCTCTTCATGTTTCATAAAGTTTAGATTTTCACTCTTACACAACAAGATACAAATTCTTTCTAAACACTGAGATAAGCAAAGAAATGCCTAAATGAGGAGTTTTGAAATGTTCTGAGGGAGATTTGTGCGTCACTCATGCACGGGGGTTAAGATAATATTAATATTTCACACCCGCCCTGTTTACAAGTTTAGTTTTTTCCACGTATTTGAGCTAAAAGTGGCCCCAGAACAGAGATATTGCATACTCAGCTTTTGAGGTTAAAATAAGTACCACTGTGTACTTCCTGCATCTAATTATAACCTATTTTCCCATCCGTCCATTTTCTTTCACTTTATCTGGGCTGATAATCAGGAAGTGCACGTTAGCATGCTAGTTGTAAAAAGAGGTCAAACTCAGGTATAGCTCTTTTAACCGAGGTTGTCCTTGGAGCTAAAGAAATACCTTGACAAACATATTCTCTTTCTGTAAGCAGACTGGCCTCTCCATAGATCTAACCAGTCATTTGAAGTCATGGAGGCTTTTTTATCTCCATATTGATACTTTGTAGCTGCTAACTGAGTGGATAGATGTAACGCTACCCGAGGCACTGCTTTGTCTGAAATTCTGTTACTCAAGTTAGACTTAAATTGGAGATTATTTTTAACACAATTTGCATTAACCAACAGTTTTTCAGTTGATCCCTCATCGTTATGCTGAAAATCAAACTCCTAAATTGGATCACAGATGCTCGTATTGAACACAGGCTCCTGAAAATGTGCCGTTTGTGAATGGTCTGCTCACTGGCCTCTCCAAACGAGCTGTGAGACGCTGCAGAACATCCAGAACGCTGCAGCTCGGGTCCTGACTCGAACTAGGAAGTACGAGCACATAAGTCCTGTGCTCAGGTCTCTGCACTGGCTTCCTGTGCCTCAGAGAACAGACTTTAAAGCAGCTCTTCTTGTACAAGAACTGAACCAGGACTAAACCAGGTCTAAACCAGTACAAAACGAGGACTACACCAGGACTAAACCAGGTCTTAACGAGGACTACATCAGGACTAAACCAGGTCTAAACCAGGACTATACAAGGACTACACCAGGTCTCAACCAGGACTAAACCAGAACTGAACCAGGACTACACCAGGACTAAACCAGGACTAATCTTGGAATTGAGAGCTTGCTGATGCCCAGAGTCAGGACTAAACAAGGGGAGTCAGAGTTTCAGGTTCATGCAGCTCAAACCTGGAACAGTCTGAACATGTGAGACAGACTCTTCTGTGACGCTGTTTAAATCCAGACTCAAAACATTTCTGTTTGACTGTACATATAACTGAAAGGTTTTCATTCTGCACTCTTCTCTCTAATTTATGTCTCTCTTTTTCAGTTTTAATCTTTATGATTATTTATGTTTTGATTTGTTTTTATTTTGATTTTAATGTATTTCTTATTCTGTAAAGCACTTTGAATTACTTTGTGTACGAATTGTGCTATATATAATAAATAAACTTGCCTTGCCTTGCCAAAATTTGCTAATGTGTGCTTTGTGTCACCATGGAAACTTGAACATTCCACCACAGACATACATGCAGACCCTCCCCCCAAACTTGATGCCAATATGTCAATAAAGTATCAGTCAAAATCCAGCTTAATGACATACAGTTGATCATTCCAGGCAAAGCAAAAAAGCAATCTCCACGCAAACAAGCAGGTAATGGATCCACTTCCAGAAAAGTTACACAGTGCAGCTTTAGCACAAATTTGAAATCAGACAAATACTATATTTTTCAGACAAATAAGTCGTACTTTTTTCATGGTTTGGGTGTCTCCTGCGACTTATATTCTGGTGCAACTTATATATTAAAATTTTCACACTGACAGCCACGAGAGGCTCTAGTCTTGTGTGTCAATATCTTCTGCTCCTGTTACTCCTCTACAACTGCCACTTCACTCTGCTGCACATGTCTCCTGTAGAAAAAGCCGCTGTCCTGCTGCAAGTAGTGAAACATTCAGCCGAAAACAGTAATCGAGCAACAGAAAGAAAGTTTGGAGTGAGGGAGAAACTTGTGTTCTCCATCCACGCTTTACGGGGATGGATTACGAGAACACAAGCTTCTCGCTCACTCCAACGCAGCACACGGCAACCAGAAGGGTGAACCATGTAACTTTCCTGGAAGTCACTGGATGGATTGACAAAGCCTGGACTTCAGTGACAACTGAAACTGTCCTGTTGGGATTCAGAAAGGCCAGAATAATTCTAACTGGAACTGATGCTGAGTCAGATGACAGCTACACAGAAGAGGAAGTGGCGTTGTCATGGCTGGTGCTTCCCTCCCTCTTTTCCCCCGTGTGTATGTGTGTGTGTGCGTGCGTGTGTATGTGTGTGTGTGTGTGTGTGCGTGTGTGTGTGTGTGTGGGCGGAGTCTCCTGGACCTGATTCGCCTCACCTGCAAGCAATCAAGAGTCAACTACTTGAGACCTGCTCACCTGTGAGACTCTGCCAGATTGTTTTCTACCAACACACGGTGAACCTCTTGGCTCCTCAATCTCGAGTTTTTTGCCACTTACTTTTTTGCCTCGACATTTTACTTACTTGCCCTCTCTGCTCTCAAGTGATCCTGCCGTCTCCAGCCCTGCTCCAAGCCCTGCTCCAAGCCCTCCAAGCCCTGCTCCAAGCCCTGCTCCAAGCCCTGCTCCAAGCCCTGCTCCAGCTCTCATTCTACCAATTGTAAAATAAATTCTCTTTGTTCATTTTTGTGAACCGGTCTTCTGTCCATTTTTTGGGTTCCTCCACTGTTGTGCCACATAACAGGCGCTCTGTTTACTTACGGAGATTGAAGAGTTACTCAGAAGTGACACAAGGATGAAGAATTGAATGGATTTAGTGATTTGGATCGAGATGGAGAGTTTGGTAAACTTGTTCTGTTGTTTATGCTATAA